GAGTTACAGACAGTTGTTAGCTGCCATGTGGGTGCTGGGATTCGAACCCAGGTCTTCTGCAAGAACAGTCAGTGTTCTTAACCTCTGAGCCATCTTTCCAGCCCCTTTATTTATTATTTTTATTTTGTGTGTATGAGTGTATTGCCTGCCTGCATGTAAGTGCACCCATGTCATGCAATGCCCACAGAGGTCAGTAGAGGGCATCAGATTCCCCTGGAACTGGAGTTACAGACAATTGTTAGGTGCCATGTGGGTACTGGGAATCAAACCTTCATCCTCTGCAAAAGCAGCCAGTGCTCTTAATTTCTGCTGAGCCATCTCTCCGGGCCCTCTTTCTTTTTCTTTTCTTTTCTTTTTTTTTTTTGCTGGAATAAAAGATGTGTGTGTGTGTGTGTGTGTGTGTGTGTGTGTATGCCACGTGTGTGCAGGTGCCTGCAGAACCAGAGAGGGCTTCAGATATCCTTGGAGCTGGAGTTACAGGCAATTGCGAGCTGCCTGATATGGGTGCTAGGAACCAAACTCTGGTCCTCTAGAAGAGCTGGAAGTGCTCATAAACACTAAACCATCTCTCCAGCCCCACCCGTCACATTCTTAAAGGCCACTTCTGCACAGCTTTCTCTGACTTCTAGATCTTTTGCATCTCAGCATCTGTCTATCCATCTATCCATTTAACAGTGGTTTTTTTGTGTTTACCATGCATGATGGATGCAGAATATATTGGTAAATCATACAAAAAGAGTCTGGCTCTTTCCTACTAATCTTTCTGAGAGACAGGCAGTACACAAGTAACAAGTAAACTATCAGATAGATGTCTAATTACAGTACAGTGATAGAGGGTAAAAGGAGAAGATACAGTGTGGACCAGGAAGGCCTCTCTGAAGACTCAAAGACATCAAGGCTGAAGAATGTGAGGCATATGCGGCACACAGCTTAGGGTTTCACCATATAACAGCATTTGTTCACTGCCCATGAGTCTGCTGTGTGCTGTGTACTAGCTTTGTTCCTTCCTCTAGATTTTAAGCTCCCTGAGAGCTGAGCCGTGCTGCTATGATTCTTGTGTTCTTAGCATTTTGCTGAGCATATAGTGGCGACCTTCCACTGCAGGACAGCAGCCCACCTTCCTCTCCCTTCTCTAGACATAGCCACCCTAATTTCCTGAAAGGTGCTTGCTTGCTTTTTTTTATTTTTTTTATTTTTATTTTTATTTTTTATGTGTATGAGTGTATAGCCTGCATGTGTGTGAGTGCACCCATGTCATGTAATGTCCCTGAGGTCAGAAGAGGGCTTCGGATTCCCCTGGAACTGGAGTTACGGACAGTTCATAGCCACCATATGGGTGCTGGGAATCGAACCTGGGTTCTCTGCAAGAGCAGTCAGTGCTCCTAACTGCTGAGCCATCTCTCCAGCCCCTAATTTTTATTTTTTAAGTTTTATTTATTATTTTTATTTTATGTGTATGCATGTATTGCCTGCATGTAGGTACATGCATATAGGTGTCATGCAATGCCTGCAGAGGTTGGAAGAGGCTGTTGGATCCCCTGGGACTGGAGTTAGAGACCGTTGTTATCTGCCATGTGGGTGCTGGGATTTGAACCCAGGTCTTCTGCAAGAACAACCAGTGTTCTTAACTGCTGAGCCATCTCTCCAGCCCAAAAGGTGCTTTCTTTTATGTCATAAGGGGCAAACAGGTAGGCACCCTATCAGGTTGTGGGAAATGGTCACGCACCCTAATGTTTGGTTCCTTTTCTGCTTCCTTAGTTTGAAGTGTGCACTCTCAGATGAGTCTCCCTTTTGTTTTCAGTCACTGGCAGTCTGATGGAAAGAAGACTGCAGCTGGGTTTCCTGTTGTCGGCATTTTCAGTCCACTAGCACAGTGTGTCAGGGCTGTGTGATGCTAGGTGGGCACCATCCCCTGACCTCAGCAATTCAGGCTGGTTCCACTTCAGTACCAATTACCTAGCTAACCTCTGGGCGTCGGTACTTATCTTTCAGATGGGGATGATGATACCTGTGCTCTGTGCCATAGGTAGTTATTAGGCCCTGGCTGTGTGAGGGAACCCTGATCATCTGATACGGCCCTTCTTTTCCTTCTAAATGCTCTGAGGAACTCCTGCTTATGGATTTGCCCCATCCCAGCCCCCTCTCCCACCCCCTGTTTGCAGCAAATTGGTTCCCCTGCTTTTCCTGTCCTGTGCTCTGTTCATTCTCCAGGCTGATTTGACACTCAACTCCCACTCCCAGTCCTTCCCCTATCACATGTGCGGGCCTCTGCCAACAACACTCTCGCCTGTGCCCAGGGCGCTTCACACACAGGCAGGCTGTTGTGTTCACAAATGGTTTGGAGGAGGAGGATGTGCCTGAGCTTGTCCTTGGCCCTTGTTGCCTTCTGCTAGAAGCAGCTCAGCCGTTGTGCCAGGACAGTGTTCAGCTGTGGAACTGTGGGGGTTGTTTAGCAGAGGGCATCTGGAGCAGGTGGAATACTTCTCCACCAATCTGTGAGTTCCCGATACTGGATGTGGCCCTTCCTGGCAGCTAACCTCATATGTCATGGAGCCCGTAAGGCCAGACTACCATCTAAGAGCACTAAATGCCCCTGTGACTTTGCAATGTTTACCACACAGAAGAGTCTTTTCATAAACATTGTCTCTTACAGCTCTGAGAAGAGTTACTATGCTTCGGATCTCTGAGTTTAGGGCA